TATTATAATAGGTTCCCTGTCTTGTCACATTGTAGTTGAGATGACTGAATCAGAGAATTTTATTTAACTGGGGGAGATTTAAGAGGTAAATACATTTGGAATAAGCAGCAGGAGGCAAAATTTGATAAGAAAATTCACCAAATAGGAATATTTTAAATACTGTAACTCTTCCCTTCCAAGGATTTTAGTCATCAACACAGAGGTAGTTAGCCATGTTATTCTGAAGTCAAGCGGAAGGTAGGAGAGTATGGCACCTTGGAAACTGGTTCAGAGATCTTTCATAGGCAACAACTTACTTTGTCAGATGCTTTCACTTGCAGTTATTAATATGCTTTGTAGTGTGTCTTAGTGTTTATATACAAAAGCATTTTATTAAAAGCATACTACATACTTAATTCAGCACCTCTGCTTCATTAATTTGGTTTCCTATATCTTTCACATTATTGACAATTTTAGGGTAAAAATGTGTCCCCACCCATTTAAGCCTACAGGCAAAATTCCTGGTGACTTGTGAATTTGGGTAGAATTTCTGGTCAGTCTGACCATGGGGTAAAATTCCTTCCTGACACCAAATATGACCATGGGTGGAGGGGCAAGATCCTCTAGACAAGCACCTCCAGCTTTGCTTCCAGCAGGAGGATCGGCACACCCCAATTGAAGTCCCAGCCTCAGCTGTAGCCAACACTCATGGTAGCAAATAGGCATAGCTACACCTAGATCATCCCTGAACAGTAGCTGTCCAACTTCTTCTTGAACACCTCCAGTGATAAAGAGTTCACAGCTGTCTATTCCACTGCTTCACTGTTTTCACAGTGAAAAAGTTTTTTCTGGATATCCCATCTAACTTTACTTTGCTGCAATTTCAAACCATTGATCTGTGCCTTCCTTTCTACAGCAAGAGAGAAAAGGGGCTTTCCCTCTTTATGTCAGGCCTTCAGGTATTTGAAGACTGCTATCATGTACCCTGTTAAATGCCTTTTCCACAAGCTGAACATGTCTAGAACCTCTCCTCATTTGACTTGCCTTCCAAACCCTTCATTGTCTTTGTTGCCCACCTCTGGACCCTCTCTAACCTCTCCAAGTCCAGTTTAAAATGTGGAGCCCAGACTGTGCACACTACTCCAGATGAGGCCTAACCAGTGCTGGGTAGAGAGGCACTATCACCTCCTGTGTCTTGCACCTAATGCTTCTATTGATGCATCCCAAAATCACATTCACCTTTTGTGTGGTTCCATTACACTGCAGGCTCATACTGAGCCTGTGATCTATCAAGACTCCTAAGTCCTTTTCTGAAGTGCTGCTGTCCAGCCAGGTATTACCTATTTTGTATTTGAGTTTTTGATTATTGCTTCTGAGATATAGCGCCTTGCATTTGTTTTGTACACTGAACTTCATTCTGTTAGCTCTAGCCCAACTTTTCAGTCTTTTGAGATCCTTCCAAATTGTGCTCACATCCTCCAGTATGTTTGCAGTCCTTCCCAGTTTCACATTATCTGCAAACTTTCTCAAGAAGCTTTCTGTGCCATTATCCAAACCATTTAATAAATGGTAAATAACTGGGCCCATCTGTCCACCTTGTAGTAGTTTTATCCAGCCCACATGTCTCCAATTTATGAGGTCATATGGGACTTTGTCAAAACTTTGCTGAAGTCCAGATACACAATATCCACAACATTCCCTTTATCCACCCAAGTAGTTACTTTATCAAGGAAGGAAATCAGGTTTGTTCAACACAATTTGTTCTTTATAAATCCAGGCTGGCTCCTTGTGGTCAGCTTTTTCTCCTCCAGATGCTTGCAAATGGCCTTCCTTAGAATATGCTCCAGTGACTTCCCAGGTATGGAGGTGAGGCAAACTGGTCTGTAGTTCCCTAGATCCTCCTTGCCCTTTTTTTTTAAAGAGGGGCACAAGTCAGGTGCCATTTGACTTAAAAAGCTGCATGTATTTTTTTTTGAGGCAACAAGCTGCTCTGAGGGAGAATTAGTAATTAGCAAACATTCAAGAAAATATAGCTAATAATGTGAAACCTCTATTAGTCATGGTTTCAGTTATGTATTGTTCTATTCTGTTTGTACCTTGTATCTTTTCAGCTCCCAGTAGATTTTTTTTTTTTTTTTTAAAGCCATCTGATTTTGCCTTTAAAAGCATCTTGTGGAAAGTGAGATTCTTTTGGTAACTTCCTGCCAGCTGACACATTTCATTGTCTGCAGACTTCACATGGCAACAAGTAGTGACGGAGGTCTCTGTAACAATGGGTGTCAACTGGATGGACTTGTTCCACTTAAGTATCATTTCACTGAAACTGGGAAATTTGTGATTGCCTTCTGTTCCAAACAAGAAGAAGCAGAGACTCTTAATGGGGAAACTTTACAGGTCACTTCCATACTATGAGAAGTTAATCCAATTGCCAAGTCAGCTTAGTAAATTTGAAGAAAAAAAAATCCTCAAGCTTTTCCTGGTACAGGGGACAGATAAAGAAGTCATTAAAATCTGAAAAACATTTTGACATTTTTCCCTTTTTAAAAAATCATTAGGATGGGGTTATACTTGCAGTTCCTTAATATCACATTATGTACTGGTTGTATTTTAAATTACTGTGTTTGCAAATGTGTGGATTTTGCTACTGAGAAGAGCTGGTTTATCTTTTGGTACATTAGTCAAAGGCTTGAAAACTCAATATAATGTCCTCAGTATTTATGTAGATCAAGAGGAAGGCCAGTGATCTTGGTCACTTAAATACCCGTAAAAATAGGATATAAGCTTAATGATTCTGAGACTCAGAAACATGAAGGATAAAATAGGCTTTGTCTGTCTGAATAAGACTTGTTCATGTATGGCACTTTAAGCCCATTTTGCATTTAAAACTTCAAGTAGAGAATTTTCTCCACTACAGCAGTAACTAATTCACATACCACATGGTTTTGTGTCCTGCATAGTGTTCAGTGTCTAGATCAGCCTGTATGGCAAGCTAGCTCACATAGGACATGCATAACGAATGGTTTAATCCTTTTAGGCTTGCATTTTTTCAAATCAATTTGAAGCATTCCATCAGGGGGTTGAAGTTTCAAGTCTGTTGTATAACATGGCCAAGCTTCATCAAGCTGCATGCTGTCACACTGACCTTGGAAATATGTAGCATCCCTCTGGAAAGAGGTGCTAAATATGTTGTTCTACTGTTTAGATGCACGTTCTCCATTTATTATATAATTATATAAAGTACCATCATACTGAACGTTTGTTACCATTTACCCATTATTTGCTGTTTCATCAATAAGGATGAGTGCAAGGTGACACCAAGTCTCATGGGACGGAGGAGGGTAGTGGATTTTGAACGAAGCTGTTTTTTAACAAGTGCTTTCAAATACAGATGAGTCTGTTTACTCACAAGGATCCCAAGGTGCTTTACAAACTGTCATGGATGTACAAACTATACCCAGAGCTTTTTCTCCATCCTGAAGTGCAACTGAGTCTGGGGTGGAAAAACATCTGTTTATATTGGAGTGGGCAATTCTTTGGGCTGGTGGGCCATTTAATGAGTTTTGGTGACCAGTTGAGGGCTACAGCTATCTCTCCCTCTCCCCATCTTTCCCTCCTGAGGCTGTGACCAGCTCGGAAGTCTGAACCTGCCGACAGCTTTAGCACGTGCTGCTGCCCCTTCCCCACTCCCCTGTGCAGGTGGAGTCCAGCCACTTTCAGCTTTAGCAAGCCCTGCTTCCCCCCCACACACCCAACGCCTGACCTGACAGCTGCAGGCCATGTCCACAGCTACCCAAATGGGACCAGCAGCTCTTGAGTTGGGGCTCCAGGCACAGGGGGCTGCCCAAATGCAACTTGAAGCACCTGGTTGGGCTGCAGGCATGGGGGAGGAGAGGAGGGCCAGGATATTAGAACTGCAGACTGCAACCAGCGCAGAAGGACACCTTGCCCACCCCACCACACTTGGAGCCCCAACCTGGAGCTACAGCTGTGGGCAGATTCATGCTTCCATTTCTGCACTGGTGGCAGCTCCAGCCCAGAGTGAGAGCGTGAACAAGGGAGTGCGAGAGAGCGTGTCCAGCATATTGGAAGCAGCCCCAGCCACCTAGCATCAGCCAGCTGTCAGAGCCGGAGCTGCCACCCATCCATGCACTTGGTGGGTACCTGCCCACATGCCAGATCCAGCCCATGTGCCATATTTTGCTCACCTCTGGTTTATTTAGTCTAGAATGACTATAGATTAGGGGAGCCCAGATGCGAAGAATAGCTTTGGTGGTGGTCTAGTTACAGGGCAATTAAGGATTCTGCCACTGGGGCTGCAGCACACTCTAAATCTGCAATGGGATACTCATTTAATCACAGAATAAAAGCTGTTCCTCACTTCCCAGTACTGCTTGCAGAACCCATTCCTGCTGGAGATCTTTTTCTTATGACAAGCTCTCATCTGAGTAGTTGACAAGGTCTGACCCTGCCTTACATGTGAGATCTGAGATTAGTGCTTAAGAGCTGTTACTCTGTAGAGTGCTTCCTTTCAGGAAATACCATTTATGTTTGGGAACATTTACATGGGTAGTTGTAGAGCAGAACAAGAACATTCACCCGTTGCCACTTTGGCCAGTGTTGCAATAGAAAACCAGCAAATTATCAATGTTCCAAATATATTAAACCAGTCAACTGGGACATACGTAATCTTAACATTTCAGTATCACTAGTAGAACTACAGGACACAGATACAGCACTAACTAATCACAAAAGTAGAAACTCCTTGCATACCTTTGCAAGTTCCATGGTTGTATTGTGAAGCTGCCTTCAGCCTGTGGGCCAAATACCTTTCTGGCATAACTCCACTGGAATAAATGAAGATACAATGGGGAGCAATTTGCACCCCCCATGCTTAACAGTAATGCAGCACTCCAGTAATCTCACAGTTTTTGCTTTTAACTACCACTAATACAGATTTAATTAAAAACCAAGTACCTACTGGAATGCACACTCAGATTAATTTTTCTGTGGCTTTTCCCCAGAATGAATGCCGCATGTTTCGTGTTCAGTTTGATGGAGATTCAAAAGAGCAGGCAGTGGAGCACTGCTGTAATTGTGTGCAGAAACTTGCAGAGTATGTCACAGTTCAGGTAACAGATGAGCAAAGCCAGGAGCTGCAAGGTCAAAGTCAGTTGCTCGACAGTGAAAGTCAAGTGCAACAAAATGCATCTATACCTCCTGGAGTAAGTGGAGCTGGGGAGGGTCCAGGAGAGGAAAATAAAGACTAACAGTTGCTCACTTCTAGGTCCGCAGCTTAATATGCATTATAATAAAGATACGGTCCTTTTGTAATGGGTGGGGATAAGGAAAGGAGATCATGCTGTGTTAAGCTGTGCACTGTTTAAATCGGTCCTCACCTTTCAGAAAGGAGCTGCTAGGAACTGTTCAAGTATGATGTCAAATTGTAGTTGAGAGAGGACCTAAATGCCAAATTTTTTTTTATCATTGGAAGAACTAATTTTAGGAAGGGAAAGAAATGATTAGCAGCAAAATAAGGAATAACTTGGATGACTTCATGCATCTGTGCATAGAGTAGAAAATCTATCATTCTGCTCTGGGTGCTCACAACCTCCTTAGTTCCCACATTAGAGGAACCACTCAGCTCTTTGCTGGAGTTTACAAACCCTTTCTCCAATTAACTGGTGCACCACAGCTGATCAGAGCAGCAGCTTTGTATACCCCCAGCCAGTCTCTAACCCCCCATCTGCATTTGGGGGAAGGGACGGGTGGCAATAAAGAACCTAATCACTCAATAAGGAACCCAGTATCTGAATTCTACATAGTAAGTTTTAAGTTTATTTGCTTAAGTCATCTGTTAAGAACAGGTGCAAATCATATTAGAGTCTGATAGGTAACTTGAAAGCAAATATTTAACCTTTAAAAAAAATCAGCCCTTACACACATGCAGTGCTCTGGGTAATTTTTTGTTTTGGAGTCAAAACAAGACTCCTGTAAATAGGTCTGTGTGCACCCTAATTCCATGGTTGTTGAATTTGCCGTAGGATTTTGCATCTTTACAAGGTGGAGAATTCAGTATTTTTGTGGCAAAATGTGCTATTTTGCTTCAGCCAGGTGGCTCAGCATTTTGCTCAGTATTTTGTCTTCCCATCTTGTCAGATTCTGTATCATCTTCAGGTTTTCCTACCAAGGGGAAATGAATTCTGGGTTCTTGGAACCAGAGTGTAGAGCAGGGGCGGGCAATTATTTTGGGCGGAGAGCTGCTTACTCAGTTTTGGCAGGCTGTCAAGGGCCACGTGTAGCCCTGCCCCGTGACAGGTGCCCTGCCCCTGGTCACCATCTTGGGACCAACGTCCCAATGTCTTGGGACCAATGTCCCAGGGCCAGCACCGGTGGGGCCCAGAGCAGGGCGCAGGCAGGCGGGGGTCTGTGGAGCTCAGCTGGGTTGCACAAGCAGGGAGGAGGGAGCTGGCCCAGTTCCATAGAGCCCTGTCGGCTGGGACCCTGCGCTCTGGGCCCCACTGGCACTGGCCCCGGGACACCAGTGCGAGCCCTGTGCTCCTGCTGGCTCCCTGCCCACTCACACCCAGTGCCCCCCCACCCTGCGGTACAGATGGAGGGTAGCGCTCAGCCTCGACCTCCTGCTTGGCAGCAGGGAAGAAGCTGGTGCTGAGTGTGGGGAAACGTGGCTCCTCACCCACCCCATGGCCAGCACTCCCTGCTGCAGCTGCTCGCAGCCCCCATGGGGCTGTCTGGAGCAGGCACAGGCAGCCCCAGGCAGGCTGAGCAGCTGCAGCGCGAGGTGCCAGGCATGGGGTGGGCGAGGGGCCACTCTTCCCCATGCTCAGCAGCAGCTTGTAACCCGCCCCACTGCCACCCTGGCAGGGAAGGAGCCAGGGGAAAAGCTGAGCGCAGGGGAAGCGGCCCCTCCCACGCCCGGTGCCCCATGCTGCAGGCACTTGCAGCCTGTGTGGGGCTGTCCGGAGTGGGCACAAGCAGCCCCACGCAGGCTGCAAGCAGCTGTAGTGCGGTGCACTGGGCATGGGAGGGGCCGTTTCTCCCCACCCCCCACCACCCTGCGGTCCTTCCTTGCCCAGGGTCCTCCCACCCCCACTTATCTGAGCTTCCCGTGTGGGGGCAGCCACGTGCTCCCCGCCCAGAAACCTGGCTGGGGCTTCCAGCTGGTGGGGCAGAGTCGGGCAGGCCCACTGTTGTGGGAGCCTGCCGGGCTTCCCCTGGGTTCTACTGTCCTTGGTTCCTGTCAATTTTGACAGGAACCAAGGGCAATGGAATATTAATTTTCTACACTTCTTTAGGAGACCTGCAGGCCAGATAGAATGGCCTCACAGGCTGGATGTGACCTGTGGGCCATATTTTGCCTGCCCCGGTGTAGACGGTTGGGAATGGGAAGCTGGAACTCCACTTGAAGCAACAGAGTGAGAAAGCATAGGCTGGAGAACAGCATAGCAATTGAGAAAACCAGGAAATGAAGGTGGCTCACACAGAAGAAAGGAGGTTCCTAAGCAGCTTGGACAGTATCAAGCCAACTCCCAGAGGTCTGGGCAGTGGTTAGTTAAGCAATCTGGAGAACACAGATTAAAAAGTAGCCACTTTTGATTTACTTTCACTAGAAGTATTTTTGGTTGTAGGCTGTTGTAAGCATTCTTTGACAACCACAAGAAGGCTCATCACCAATATTCATTTCACTGTGTCCTCCTACAAGCCAATTTCACCTTCCTGGCTGCAATGCCCAGTATTCCCCAAGTGGAAAATGCAGATTCACTTCTTTTGCATCTATGATGGTAGAGGAGAGCTCCAGCAGCTCACCTCGCAGGCAGCCTGACTCATTTAGGCTAATACCAAAAAAGTGGAAACAGGCTAGGGAGGTAAAAGCAGGGCATGATAATATTGCAGTGAAGTTTTGCCATTCTAGCCACAGACTAGTGTCACTGCAGTGCAGAATGCATGCCTGTCATCACGATTGTAGTAAGACACTGGTTTATGTTGTTTCTGATGTGTTGTATGCAAGTTGTAGGCCTACTTTTACATTGTAAATGTGCAATTTTTAGCTTTTGTTTCGTCATTTCAACACTGTTAATTATGGTGGATTCAGTTACAAGCATGTAGATACAGAAAGAAAAAAATCATAGTGGCTGGGCTAGCTTCTCTTTTCTTTTGTATATCCCTGGATCTTCCAGCTAGATTGCACTGATCTTTATACATTTATATTCTGATACTTTTCAGCCAAGTTGGACGCTAGAGGAACCTCCACTTCAGTTGTACACAAACATCCCAGAAGCAAGATCTGTGGTACAGCTAGCACAGGTATAGCAAAACAGTACCGCATGACAGCAGTGGAAGATGATTTGTCACAGGCTATGGCGTAACTTCTGCCAGGGATAGGTTGCCAGGAGCACATAACTCCAGTGCTCCAGAGTCTACAGTAGTTCCCAGTAACAATTTAGAGGTGCTGGTTTTGATCTTGAAGGCCCTAAGTGGGCTGGGTCCTGCATATCAAATGGATGGTCTTTTCCTTTATTCCCCACAAGGTCAGCCAAGAGCAGCCTCCTGCGAATAGCATCAATGCACAAAGTCTGCTTGGTGAAAGTACGTGGGAGGTTGTTCTTAGCACTAGTTCCTCAGCTCTGAAACTCCCTTCCCTCCTGAGGTCCGCCAGAGCCCAAGCCTGGACATCTTTCAGAAATGCTCTACAGCATCCCTATTTGAGCAGGCATTTAACAAACAAAGCTAGGCTGGAATATTGTTCTGGGGGTGGGGAGAGGTTCCATCTTGGTCCTCTAGTTCCCTTTTTAAGTTGTTCTGTTCTGTTCGTTCCCCTGTTTATAACTTATTCTGCCCTCTTATTGAAAGCTGCTCTGGGCTTTTGTTGGGAAGGACAGCATATAAAGCAAATAACTTGAAATGTTTTTCATATGCTGATATATTACTGGAGTATTCAATTAAATGGGAACTTTCAGTTATCCAGAACGGTATAGAAAGATCATAAATTAAAAAGGGGCAAGATCTTTTATGTACTACTGTTCTGTACCTTTCATTGTAATTCACTTTGTTGCCTTTCTGGCTGTACAGAAAGCTTGATCAGACGTGAAGTGTGAATCAACAGGGATGCAGTTTAGGCAGGGTGTTTAAAATTCAGCCAGTCTGCAGGGAAGCTCCAGATGTCAATGATGGACTGTGTGGGCAGGGGTAAAAGTTTAGGAACCCGCACTAACCTTAAAACAAGAGCCCAGCTCCCGCTGATGTCAGTGAAAATCCTGATACCAATCCTCCTCTCTCCACCCCCAAAATAAACCAAAAGCATAATGGCATTTTACATAGTAACCCAGGTTTGTTCATTCAGGACCTTGGCATTGTTAGTGATCCCCTTTTTTTCTCTCCTTTGTCAAATAAAACAAAGTCTTCTGCTTTTTTTCTCTGTCAGTAGTCAGCCTTTTGGCAGTCAGACTTGACACTGGGCCTTAGAGTTGATATACAAGAGGTAATAAGGGACCTAGGACTTTGCCCGTTAGTCAGCAATTTGGACAGCCACCACCATACCAGTTAGGCTGGTCATGTTTACAAGATCTAGTTTGGCTTCCAGAATTTTTCACATTGTTTAGAAAGAATAATTGGTGGCCTGCATGATTCAGCTTGGGCACAGTACATCAACATGAGCTCTCTCACCCCTGAAAACTTACCTGCTTTCAGTCTCTTCCCAAGGGAACTCCTATCTTGTGTTGATTTGAATCCTGTGACCCCATTCACTCCTTTAAGTCTTAAAGGGAAATAGCCCACTTATTTTTTGTGCATCAGGCAGCCAAATTCACCCAATAGCCTTCAAGAAGTTTCCCTGTGACTTGTCACAGTTGGGTCTGGAGTTCTTAGCCTAAGACAGGGCCATGGCACTTGGCTTAGGTCAATGTTTTCTTGCTAGTGAGACCGTAGCAGTCCACAAAACCCTTCTCACAACAGACATCACTTACACAAGGAAGCCAGCACCTCAATCTCTGGAAATTTTCAGGTAGCTCTTAATTTTTGTCACTTAATAAGCTCCCTAGTGAAATTGCAGTTTCCTTGCCTTCACGTGGCTTCTTAATGGCTATTGCCTTCTCAACGGACTGCTTATACAATTGCATTCTTTTCCTTTGGCACTTTGTACCATAGGGCTTGGGAATATCAAGGCCTTTTCAAAACTCAGACTATTTTCCACTTCTGTTGCATTTCGGAGATTTAGTGAGTTTGTTTTTGCCTTCAAAGCCCCCTTTTTAGTGCATGCACTTTGAGGTCTGTGTGTAGCTGAGGTGTCATTTCAAAATTATTCTAGACTTTTCAGCTATTGGGTGGCCCCGACTTCAAGCATCCACAGGTTCAGAGCATCGATACTTCAAGCATCCCTAGCTTCAGTTTTGCACAGGTGATCAGTAGGGCTGTGCAAAATTTCAATGGGTGTTTTGTTTCAAAGTTTTTCGAGCTCAAAACAGCAAAATCAAAATGGAGAGAGGAAGGATTGCTCTGATATTGACTGTGTAGCTGGCCAGTGACTGTGATCCTTCCCTGAGGTCCCTTCCAATCCCAGTGCTCTGGGGGAGGGACAGAAAGACTGCATAAAAAGCATTGTTTGAACTGAGCTTTCTCTGTGCCTTCACACTTACAAGTGACATGAGTTTTGCTCTAAACATTTTGAGGTAGTTTCCCAGAAACCCCTGCACCTATCTCCTTGAAACATGACAGGTTTTGTGGCCTCAGCAGAGGCTACCATCCCGGCTGTTTTTATTCAACTCGGGAAAGAAATGACAAAGTTATAGGCATTTTCCCCATTATAGCCTATGGGCAAAACATTGAAACAGTTCTGATGAAACAAACAGAAGGTGCTTCGAAACAGTGAAATGAAACATTGTCTCTTTGAAATGGTGAAACCGCAGTCGAAATGAAACAGTGCTGTTTCACACGCACCACCCTAGTGATCAGGCTTCAGTTAATGCATTTTTAAGACTGTTGCTATCTCTACTTCGTCCTTTCAAGGACTTGAAAATCTTAACAACTTCACTAAGCATAGATCTGAGTGCCCAGTCTCCTTCACAACTGGATTTTGAATTAGTTAAGCATGATTGGCATAGGTATGAAATTCAAGATACCAAACTTTGGAGGAGTTGTAAAGCACAGATGTGCACTTACCCCTTGTCTTTGAGTAGTTCAGAGACTAACATCTGAAAGCAGAGGTGCAGCTTCAGCAATTCTCAAAAGCAGGCAGCTTTCTCAAAGGGGAGTTTGTTCTGGGTCAGCACAACTTAACCTGCTACCGAGGTTTACGTTTGGTAGACGAAAGGACAGTCCAGTATGCGAGTGTGGTGATGCAGCACAGACTGCTGTAACCCCCTCCTTATGTGCAGCACACCTAGGATAAGGCCATGGCAAGCGTCAACGATAAAGCAGCTGTGTGGCTTCACCACATTAATAATATGTAGAGGGGGAAATGAAGTATATGAGAGAAGAGAAGAACCTGCTACCACCCCTTGTCAAGGGTCTACTTCAAGTGGGGATCATAAAGCACTCCAGATTCTCCTTAGGTTGCACTTAGCAGCTTTGCTAGGGGCACTTTCCCTGCAAATCCTGCTAGTCTCCAAGATGATCCTAGGTACCTGCACATCTTGTGCTTATTTGCATTCTACAGCCATCCAACACTCATCATCTTATTTGGCTCCAGCACATTGTCAAGAGCAGCATTCACTTACTGATCTATACTGAAGTGATAAAGACATTTAAAGGGTATCAAAGTACCCACATTGTCAGTATTAAGATATTCAAAACAGATTCTTGCAAGTGTTTTTGAGGGGCTTAAGCAAGAGTGTTGTTTGGAGCATGCACCTTCCTACCTTGGGAAGGGGTAAGCCCTGGGGCTGGAGTGGAGTCTTGTGTCTGCCCCAGAGGTGGTTTGGGTTTGGCCAAGCTGTAACCTGCAAAGGTGGCACTTCCTTGCGGTGGCTGCATTCCTCAGGAAGAGTCTGGCAGCCACCCAAGAGAACTGAACAGGAACATTTAAAAATAGCTGAGTTGACACTGCTGCCAAGTCACAGCAGCAGAACAGGTCCCTGCTCGAGCTGTTTTGGCAGCTCTCAAGCATTTCTTACCCATCTCTAGCTGACAACTCTCTTCCCTGACTGGTGGGAGGCTGGTCCAGGCTCCCTTCCCAGCTGCAACATATAGTGCCTGTCAGAGGTGTAACAAGTTTTGCACCCTGGGCAAAGCCTTCCAAAAAGGGAAGGGGGTAGGGGATAAGGGGTGTCAGTCTTACCAGCCCCAGGGGCTCAAAGTCCTTGGTGCTGCTTCCACAATGTAGATTTCTTGCAGGGGGCTATCATTTTGGTGCCCACCGCTGGAGCCCCACTTGCCAGCGCCCTCCACCTTATTTATGCTACTGGTGCCAATAGCTTCTCCTCCTTCCTACCCAAGATGGCAACTTTCTGCTGCTGCTAGCTGTGTATTTCAATCCTACTGATGGATAATAGTGCACAGAGAAAGGTTCAGTTGCATCTAAAATTTTTTTTTAAAATCTTATAGGACACATACACATGTTCAGTATACATGCAAGATTGCCATTGCACCCTTGTACACACAGTGTCAACTGCACAACCAAATGCTCTTTCCCTGCAGTTTCCCATCATCCAGTGTAATGGATGGACACATGGGCAACCACAAAACTGACCATTTCCTACCTAGAGAGCTTCACTTTGCTTCCTTACTCTTCTGTGCCTGGCATCCTCCTCAAAATCTTATCAATGTAATTTCTAAAATGGTCTGCAACTCCCTTGGTTTTTTGCAGTTAACAAAAATGCTACTTGAGAGAAACACTATTACAAGGCAGCTACCATGTGACCCAGACTGTTTAAACAATGCCAAGTCTCATTTTTCTAGCAGTTGGAATCTGACTTCTGCTCAGCTGACTTCATTTTAGTACTGGTCATGCCTGTTGCAAAAAGGTTACTTGTTACTTCTCTTCATTGTGCATGAGCATTTCTATGAAGCCATGATTGCTGAGCATCTAAAAGGGAACTATTAAATTTCACTGACAACGAAATGGACCCTAAATAAAAACCATGTTTGGGTTTACTTTTGCAGTCTGTACTGAACTCAAAATCTGAGCTCCCTCATATGTATCAGCATTGTGTGTGGAGCGCCAAAGACTTGGGACCTTTTATTCGCTTATGTCTCATGGATCAGAATTTCCCTGCCTTTGTGGAAGAAGTGGAGAAGGAACTGAAAAAACTGACAGAAGGATGAGAAATGTTAATGTTACTTAGTAAACACAAAAAAGTCAGTGTTTGGATACTTGATAAATTGCTTCAAACGTGTTTTTGTCAGTGTTTTATTCTTAAAAACAGGTGAATTCACTTTTTGTACATCATTGCACTTCAACAAATACACAGAACACAAGTTCATGCATCTACAGTTATGCACGACATCAGGACCCTGGTAGGTCTGTAATTCTACAGTCAGTCCTTAAATCAACATGAGAAATTACAGTGTCAAACTGAAGAGTATAACTAGTTGCATAGAATATCACCATGCTGTAACGTTTCAACATCATTTAAAACAAAACAAAAAAAGTAAATTATAAAAGTTTGCCTGAATTGAATGTACAAGAATATGTTGAACACATCAGTGCAAAAGGATTTGAGAATTTACATGATTAACAAAAAAATCACTTAAAAAGCAATCATATATATATATATATATTTATAAACTGAAGTATCTTTACTGCAGTTCACCACCACTTGTTGGACTGTTCCAGCTTTTAAAGTCTTTGATTATCAGGACCCCCAAGTCTTTTCACATAGGTTAAGCCCTTAAGATAATTTTGATTTATATTATTCCTCTACAAGTACCAGAACAGCATAATTATTTCATCTCTCAGACATATAATATACGGAATGAATATCAGCAGCTTAAAAATGAAACACATTTACTGTACTTTGGTTTTCCCCCCTCCCCCCAAAAATATAAATATATACTGTATATATTTTTAGGTTTTGCTGTACTTTACAAAAAGTTACCACTAGATGGCAGCAGTGCATTTAGAGCTTTGCCAATTTAACAGCTAGAGTAAGTAAAAAATGGTGCATGCATGATCTGACTCTTACTTCTAGTGTTTAAATATCTTAAGGGGGGGAAAAAAAAAAAAAAAGCAACATTCACAGCACATCAAGCCCAAAATAGTTTACACCTTCTACACTGAAGCATTATTAAAATTTATCTGGCTAGGTCATCCTTACAGGAGAGGCTAAATAAGGCATGCTTTAGACAGTCATATTGTTTGCTCACTTGAAAAGGAAAAAAGTCAAATAGAACTGGAGTTCTAGTATCAAGAGTTCCATCCATTCATTTTAGCAGGTCATATTGCCATCAGTCTCTCAGAAACTTAAAGCTCTGGCGGGAAAAAAAAAAAAAAAAAAAGAGAAAAGGTGTCAGTCAGGGATCAACATCATCCTGAACACAGAATAAAGCTGATATTCACGTATTTATCAGAGTAGGAGACAAAGGTTTGCCTGTTTTTGTTACGACCTCGAACGTTTCAATACCAGGTTCTCTCCTAAAGCTATAAACATTTAGCAAGACCCCCACCTTGCACGTTCCAGAACCTGAACAAACCATCTTTTGGGTTTTTTGCTTTTAGCCCAAAGTGCTACATGGAGTTAATCTAGGGCTATGCAGACACTTCATCAGCGGCCTGCTCAGACAGTCATGGCAGGATTAAAAAAATACAAAGCAAAACAAAAAACCCCCAACAATTCTTTTAACATCAAGTTTTCTGAAAGCTAAAGGAGTCTCGGGACAGCAACACTTTATTATTAAAATATTCTGATAGCATCGCAAATACTTCAGTACATTAGAAAGTCGCATGCTTTCATCAGTGTGAGAGCTCCATCAGTGTGCATTACTGAAATACTCCTTATTTCCATGACACAAGAAAGGCTCTAGACCATATATGAACACATGAAAGGTAAAAATGTGGAAATAAAAGTCATACTTACATTATAAGCAATACTTTTAATTTGTGTTTCTCTGGCGTAGGTTTTTGTCTTTGTGATTATTTGTAGAGTTGGTTTTCCTTTAAAGGGAGAAAAAATATCTCATCAAAATGGTTAAATGTAAAAGTCAACAGCATGCTTAGCAGACAAGGCACTCAAAGGGAAGTCAAATTCCAATCCCCTGTGCACGAGAAAGCTTTAGTGTAGAGAAATGGTTTAATAAAAATTGCATGAGTTCACAGGCTCCCAATTTTTAGCAGAAGGTAGTTTACAAACTCTTCCTACAATGCTATTTGCCTCCTGGATCACTGGTCTTGCTCCCCAGTTTGATTATAGAGAATAAGCCCTTTTTTCAGTTTGCCAAACTTGTGTGCAAACTGTATTTACTCTATTAGAAGACAAGTTGTCCCCCCCCGCCCCATTTTGACATGGGGAAAAGCCCCTCAGCTTACAACTGAGCATGAGGCGGCAGGGGACAGGCAGCTGCTGCTGCTCCAGCCCCAACCCTGTGTCAGAGCTGGAGCCACTGCCTGCTCCCTCCCATTCCAGCCTCTGCATGCCACACCACTCCTCCCTGCCCCCAACCACTGCTTCTTCCTCTCCCCTACTCCTCATCTTTGCTCTGTGCAGGCAGGCTGTCCTCACCGCAGCCTGGAGCATGAAGCACTTGCTCCAGTCCAGTGCAGTCCTGTAGCAGCAATGCCAGCTCTGCACCACTGGTACAGGGCCGGGCTAGAGCCAAGCTTCGCACCCCCAGCTGCAGCAGGGACAGTCTGCCCACACGGAGCAAAAGTAAGGTGGGGGTGGAGGAGCTGGGAGACAGGAGGAAGAGGGGAAGAAGTAGCATGGAGGGGGGGAAACGGGAAAACACAGGAAGGAAGAATTTGGCAGCCTGAGGCTGCAGGGGGCAGGCACAAGGGGGTTAAGTGGGAGGACAAGCTGCCGGCCTTTTCTCATGCTGCATAACTGCCTCTTCATCACCTCTCCCCCCAGTTACCTGCAATACCTGCAGGGGAAGGGGGTGGGGGGGGAGATGAATTGAAGATGATCCTCCAATAATTAGATTCTATACATGGAAAGTTATAATAAATCTATATATTTTCCTTGTCTGGAATCTAATTAATCAGGGGCATCTTACATTCAGGGTCTTGTATTGGGTAAATATAGTTCTTTCCAAGATGGACGGGAACGCACTTCTGGCTATAATATTTTGGTGAAAGCCAGTAAAAGCAAATATCCACAATGCATGCCTCTGCTTCTTGCCAACGTGACCCCTTTCCCAAATGTTTACAGATCTGTAAACAGAGGGGTTAGGGCCCTAAATATCAGTGTATGGAACCCCTGGCAATGTGTACAGCTCTGCAAATAAGCCCTTCACCCCTCACATCCACCCTCTTTCCATTGTGTTTCATTTCTCTTCCTGGCTTAGAATGGGGTGTGGGGTGGGGGAAGGGGGGTGGAAATCGAAATGTGTCAACTCAAACTAGGCTCCCTGGTGCAGGGACTGTTTTCCCTCAAAATGCATGCATGCCCCCCCCCCCCC